TTAATTAATTAATTAAATAAATAAATAAATAAATAAATGGAAACTAAATAAAGGGAAGCTATAGGGAAGATGGCTAGCAAACTAGAGCCAGAAATAAGGGATATAAGTTGCAAGTACCTAGACTTCATTTAAATATAGGGGAAAACTTCCTGATAGCAAGGTCTGACCAACAGTGGAACATTTACCTACAGAGGTTGTAGATTCTCCATCTCTGAGGGTTTTCAAAAAGGCTGGACAGCCACCTCTGAACTAAGGTTTAAATGGTTTCCTATCCATTGCAGAGGGTTGGGTTGAACCCTGTCCCAACTCTACAATTTTCTAAGTAGAGGGGACAATAGCATTCTCCAGATCTCTAAAAGTCTCTTGCCCTTAAGAAGATAAAGGCTGGTTTTCTCCTGCCCGAGAGGGCAAAACAAGATCTAAAGAGCTTGCTTATAGGAGATCCCTTAACATTTTCATAGGTTTGGGTGAAGCGTCTTGACGGGAAGAACCCATAGCTTCAAGAGATGGTTGGACTTTCTTGCCGGGAATCTTTACTCCAAGGCTGGAGATGTTCTTGCTCTGTTTTCTTGTCCTGAAAGGGTGATTGGGGTATGCAACTAAAAAGACTCACCTGTAGGATGCATTATACTTCCAAAGTCAGTGTCATAGGAGATACCCTGCGCGCCTCTGTCTTGGAAACAGGATTGTTCATAGCATTGTTGATGAATTTGTTACAGAACCAGTGAATTGCGCAGATGCATCTTAGTGTTTGGAGGGCATTAAGGAGCCCAAAAGAGCAGACAGATGATTCAGACTATGCATTGGACTAGAACTCCCATCTCACAGGGCTCTGCTTGTGTTGTTCTTGTTCTCTTTTAATTAGGGTCTTAAAGCCTTTGGCCTTGAGAAAGTTCATGACCTCTGGAAGCTCCTTCATCCTGAACGTGAGTTATCTCAGCCAGCATTTGTCTAGAAGTCCAAGTTGTGCATTTGAAATTATCCAGTGACAGCAGGACAACTTTAAGAACAAAGTTGGTCATATTTTTAAGCAGGAGATAGCAAAAGTAGATATCAGCCTAGCGGGAGGGAGGAGCCCCTCAATTTATGGAAGTAGGAAAGAAGAAGAATAAAAAATAGAGAGCCAAACCCTGCCTCCAGAATATTCAGTGCACAGAGCACTGAATGAAAGGCCAGGATATAGGGAAGAGGCATAGAATGTAGCATTCTGGAAGAAGCATAGCCGGGCAGTTGGAACATTGAACTGAAACAATTTCTACCCACTATAATTTTGATATTGGGTGTGAAAGTTAGTTCCATGTGGCCAAATATAAACAACCTGATACTAGGTCAGCCTGTTACCAAAACAGATGGACCCTCTGCTTCCTGCCCCAAAGAGAATTGCTTCAAGCCTTTTATGTAGAGTGGGTAGGAGAAAGTGGCACAAGTAGTTGGACCATTGATTGGTATAAATAGAGCTAGTATTTGATACACAGCAGTTGCTGGAATTCTTTTGTAATGGTTTCTTGGCTTTCTACAATACATTACTCCTCAGACATTGCTGAATTCTGAGGTGCTTCTTCAGTTAGTTTCAGCCCATTTCCTGAAAAGAATCGTGGGCCTCTTGAGTGTCAACCTGTCTCCAACCAAGTTGTCTAAACTATGGATGGATTTGAGTTTTAGCAGTTCAAATTCTAATTGTAATTTAGAAGAAACTTAGAAGGACTTCCCTTATATATGTAATTTAATATATTTTAGCTATTTAAGACCTTAATCTTGCCTGAGGTGTTTTGCAAGTGTCTCTTGCAGCTAGGTGGCAGAATATAAACATGGCCGATCTCAAAAAGCTAAGCTGGTCGCCCTACATTAGCCAGGTTGCTGAGAGCTTCTGGCTGCCTCCAGGCATTCACAAGAAGGGGGAGCTCATGTTCTCGGAACCTTCTCTGCAAGGTTTAGATCGGCCCTCACTTTGCCCCCTTTCGGTCTTCCTAGTGAAACTCGAGATAAAGGATTCCTTCATCAAGAGGTGGGTTGAGAAGGGCTTGGGCAGCATCAAGAACTATGCAGAAAAAGCAGAAGACAAGCAGCTGGAAATAAAAATTGCAATTGTGGAGAAATACAGGGAGCGTATTCCGGAGCTGGTGGAGAGGATATCCCGGTGCCATGTATTGGCTCCAGAAAATGCAGGTAAAGCCAGTAAAATTGGGGTTTCGATGGGAGCTTTGGAGGGAAAAAAATCTGCATCTAAAGTATGTGCTCTGCTTTGGTCTGGGACCTATATGCCTCTCAAAGAGGGGAGAGTTTATCCTTGAGTCTTATGAAAATATGGACATGAGAGTACGTCTCTTTGGGATTTCTTATACTAGCACAGCTCTCTTCTCTAGCAAGAGGTATCCCCTGATAAGGGAAGTCTAGAGATGTTCAGTCTGTCTAGTCCAGTATTGTCCATTATGACTGGCAGTAATATCCCTGAGTCTTGGGCAGAGCAGTTTCTACATCCTGGTCATGATATTTTTAACTACTGATGCTAGAGATGAATCCAGGACCACCTGTACCACACCCAGCAATGGCTCATGGCAGCCATGAGCTGTTGTCTTATCCTCTTCTCTTTTCAGGTGGTCTCCACTATGCTTACTCAGCTGATAATCAAAGGGCCACTGAACCTCTGTTCAGTCCTGACTTCAGGTCAACTTTTCTTTCAGACTTTGGAGTACAATGGGAGTAGAAGCATTATTATCCAAAGCATCTGTGAAGTCTCAGGTTGGGGAAGGTTCTTCTAGACCTCCCTTTCTTCAAGATCTCTGCTGCTCATCAAATGCTTGGAAATGTGCTTTTATGAACCTAATCTCTTCCCTTTTGTGTGTTTTAGATTACATCCTAGGCACTGTGCATAAGGCCAAAGGGCTGGAATTTGACACTGTCCAAGTAGCTAGTGACTTTGTGAATATCCCGTTTACATGGCCCTATCTTGGAAGAATGCCCCAGTCCCAACCTGGTAAGAATAACTTTGTTCTCCTAATTCCCCTCCCTCCCTTACTTCCTTAAGCTTGCCTTGAGCCTTAGATCTACATCCTATCTGCATCTTTTATTGCACTATCCAGACGTTGCTCTGGGGCTTACATCAAGCTCATCCTATCAAGTGTTGCAGACCTCCTGTTTTTGAACAAGCCTGCTGTCTGACTTTGCTGTCCTTCAGGGTGCCTGTGGTTAGGATGAGCTGCATGTCAGCCCCACGAGGTAAAAACCAGACCAGAAAATCAACTCCACAGGAAGGCTGAAACAAACTACGTTTATTGAGAGTGGCTGTAACCACAGATTCTTGCAAGTCTGGTTGTGCTGTTCCTCCTCCCCGTTCTTAGACTTCAGTGAATTGGGATGGCCTCTGCCTAAGCCACTTCCACAGGTTATCTCATTGCTCTGGACTTAAAAAATGCTTCAGCCTCTTTTGCCTAGGCAGTGCCTGCTGCATATCTCCATCAAAGTCATCTTCCTTACTCTCTACACTGTGTTTATTGGCTTCATTATAGTTAGTTATATTTCTGGGCTGTTTCTCTTTCTGGAAGATTCCCCAGTCATTCTGTGGTCATAATGAAAACTTTTACAGAGGGAAAACAGTCCATTAAAAGATGAATATTAGTGGGAGTTAATGGCTGGAGACAGCCAGCAGAAAAAGGAGATTTTTGAGAGAGGCCTGAGAGAGGATACACCACAGAAGGCTTGCTTGCTCCCCAGGATTGGTGCCACCATCTAGCTTCTGTCTCACTGCCGACCAGCAGTCCATGGGGATGATTTCAGATGTGCAAAGCTCAATGGTCCAGAGATTGAATGTTCTAGATCAGTCTTTCTCAACCTTAGCAACTTAAGATGTGTGGACTTCAACTGGCTGGCTGTGGAATTCTGGGAGTTGAAGTCCATACATCTTAAAATTGCCAAGGTTGAGAAAGACTGTTCTAGATTCTGGAGTGTTCAGTTTTGTTTCTAGAATGTGCCACTGGGGGGTGTTTGTGGTTGTCTGGATATGTATCTTCCAGAATAGGAAGTTGTTCATGTTGTTTTAGACCTGGTCCGGCCCCTTGGCTAACCGTTTCCTGTTCCACAACATTTATATCATAAAAATAACTGGACCATCCTTGGAACATCTGGATTAACACATTCTGGAAGA